CGTTTGCTTTGACTAAAATAAAAAAAATACATATTTTAAAATTCTCTTATTCTGTACCACTACGCAGTCCAAATGTATCTGAAGAAATGGCTGAATTTCAACGGTGAGTGTAAATATGGGATAAGGTCAAAGAAGCTGGTGGGTGATGAGTATGTTACAGATTAAGGACTCTTCAACAGTTAAGAGCTTTGAAATAAAACATAAAAACCCACACAAAAACACTCCAGATATTTAGGTCCAAATATTCAAGCATTCAAAAAACTACCCCAGAATAGGGAAAGCCCCCAAACCTCCCAGATTTCATAAAAAAAAAAAAATCCAGTAATCATAATACAAGGGGGTGGGGGTCCCTAACTTGGTATTTGCCAAAAAGCCCAACCCTGAAACAGTAAGTGCTTAGCATGAACCTGTATTACTTGATGTTATCACCTTTGTGAATATGGAAGAATAAAATACATCACTGATACTGTTCAAACATGATTGGGATCTAATTTCAATGCCACAGGGTAATCTGCGTCTCCAACAGATAAAAAGAAAAAGCACCACACAGCTCTAAAAGATTATTCCAGCCATCGGTGAGTCCACAAGAGCTAAGCAGCGAAGTCTAAGTGTGTCGAAGGGCAAGAAGCTTACAATACTACACTTTCCTTACTGAGTTCAGAAGTAGAACATCAGTACTCTGCTGTTCCAGTCACTGAACTCTAAGGGGGAAACTGTCATGTCCGAATTTATCAACAGAAAGGTGGGCTCTGATTTTCCTACGGTTCGACAGAGAAAGCTGGACACTTGCTCTGGCCAGCATTCTTCAGTCTTAGGAGAAAACAGGCCCCCAAAATTTTATAACTAAACAGAACCAACCTCTAAGCATAGCTTTCACTGAGCAACATATTTTTTTTTCCTTTTGCAATCTCTTTATTAGAAACAAGACGAGGTGCCTAAAATACAAGCTTTAAAAGTGTTATCTACCTGCTATCTGTGTGTAAACATGGTCATCTTATGTACACTAGATCATACATGCAGTTATTTGCACCAACCTTCTGAGTGATAAAACACAACAATTTTCATTTGCAGGCAGTATAATTATGCTCACAATTAACACGTAACAACACATGAGATTAGAGAAGAGTAATCCCACAGATGTGCAGGCTCTTTTACAACCCCTGTGTGTGAGAGATATCCATCCATTTCTGCAGCAACAAATCTTAAAATATTGTTAATGGCACAGCTCATTTCTTCAAAGACCTATATAAACAACGTTTGGGACCTACATTCTCTAACTGTCCCTGTACACATTTTTTTACTGAAATGTGACAATAAATATGATCTAGACACAGATGACAGAACACTGCAAGTTATATACTTTCCAAATTTCCCCCTTAAGAAATGCCCTCTTATACTTGTTGTTCTGTATTGTCAGAGCCAGCAAAATTCAAAATTGTTTACAAATGACTGAAGTGCAAGCAACAAAAACACAGAACACTGGTTTTCCTTATGACCTGCTTGTCCTTTTTCTAAATAAAAGGGGATGCCAGTCCCCAAAGTGAGTGTATGAATATAGAATCCATGCTGTATAAAGCAAAAGAGGGGTAGAGAAAAGGGGAACAGAGAAAGCTGGCTTCCCCCAGGCTGTACCCCCATCCCAACTCTCCCTTATGTTTAATTAGTTCACTGCTGTGGAGCACACACACATTGTACCACAATGCAAGAAAGCACCTCTCGGTGAGAAATTCATTTCAATCTGGCTCAAACTAAGTTAGGTTGCCCTCCTCTTTAAATTAAATTTCATTAAATATATGTCATGGTGAGTCCTGGTTTATGTTTTGGGGAAAGAAAAAAAAAATCTCTAATAATCTCTCAGGCATATTCTCTGGAGTTCTATTTGCTACCTTACAAAAGATCACACAGAGGAGGACTCTAAACAAAGATTCTTACCTATAATATATTTTTTCCTCTCAATGTCAGGGCAAAATGTCATACTGGTTTTGCTTCAAAGTTGTAAAAAAAGAAAGAAAGAAAGGAAAGAAAGAAAGAAAGAAAGAAAGAAAGAAAAGATATTCTAATATGCCCCCTAAAACTGTGGATCAAATAATAGTTATCATTTAAGTAAAAATAAAATGGTCTGCCTTGGCACTTTCATACCACCAGCAAGAACCAGTAATGGATACTGCTTATCAGTTCATTTTTTTATGCCAACAACAAATAAAAGAATTGTAAACTCTGTTTAAAACCTGAAACCTGAGAGTTCAACAGAGTTACACATACAAAGAAACGCTAAACAAAAATATCTGTGACCATTTATGGAAATAGTGAGATTAGAAAAATAAGCCTTTCCCCGAAAAAAAAAATTATCAACAATTCAAAACCTCGATGTTGACAAAGGTTCAACTAATCCATTTGTCTTTCCTGAGTCACTCTGTAATTAGTTCTACCGTTTCCTTCTAAAGAGGAAAGATTCTTACCAAAGTTGGACCTAAGTCTGGCCCCGTATAAGCATTCAAATGTGATTGGGCCCAAAGATCCTATTTACAGAAGGGCACAGACCCAACTGTGGAAGGGTGAAGCAGCACTGGGCACAACCTGAAGGCTGTTCCCAACCACTGCCTCCAGAGTTCCCTAGCAGAGGAGCCCCCCATGGATAAGACACAAGATCCATGGCAGACTCAGAAAAGGAACCACTCCCTGCACTGACCATGAAGGGAGATCAGGTCTTCCTGAAGGGATCTGTCTACTCAGGAAACCACCTGCAGGCACCCAGCACACCACAAATGAGCAGACCACCTAAACTTCCAGAAACATCCCAGTGAAAGGAAGGGAGGAAGAAACGTGTGGTTGTCCTGAACTGACCGTGTTCCGCTCCTTTGCAATATCTGTAGCATTTTAATTTTTTACACTATTTTCATATCTGATAGGTTTTGCAGATCTTTCTGTCCCAGGACCTGGGCTTCCTCCAAGGCAGTGTTTTTAAAACATGGCCTTTTTACATTACCCGCTGCTGCAACATCATCTGTCTCTAAGTTTCCAGTGCTTACTGAGGTCAATTTTCATTTCTACAAATCACAGGCAGCCACTTGCCTCTGAGAAGTTAACAAGCCTTCTGAGAAATGCTGGTGGCTGGTATTTCATTGTTTCACAAATATTTTTTATCCAGTGACACCACTCAACTTTAAATAAACCTTTAAAAAGAAAGAATTTGAAAGCAAGGAAAATTGTGATCTGGATTTTATTTCTTTCGTGGGAGGAGAATAGGGAGGTGTGAGCCCTCTATTGTTTTCAACTCATTTAAAATGTTGCCTCCGTTTTTTTTAAAAAAATATACTTTTAAAAAAGGAAACTCACAGAAGTTGAACTTTCTTTAAAGCGGGCCTCTGGACTTTTGAAAACAAGTGTTGCTGCTACGAACAAAGACTAGAAGTACACCCTGATTTTCTTCCCTCCTGGGGATCATTTCTCTTCCAATAAACAAACAAATCCCCCAGTATTTCCTACCGAAGGGAAGTTTTCCAGGGAGAGTCTCCTCCAGGGTTTGGTGGTAACTGCGACTCAGTCTTTTTTGGACACAATGTTTCTGCTGACTCCTGAAAATTTTCCACTTGAATGTGCAATGAAGGAGCGGCGGCGGCAACAGTCCCGGAGAAGCGGCAAAGACGACCGTGCCTGCTTTCATCTTGGAGAAGAAGGAGCGAAACCCCCGCCAGCAGCACAAGTCGGCGCAGACCCTGGGCCGGCCTCTGGGGGCCCCAACGACTG